ATGTTTATGATTTTAATAATACTCGACAACAACTGGAAAATGATATCAAAACACGAGAAACTCATCACCATAGTTACAAATAATAAGATATTAAATATTATATAATAGTATTTATTTTGAATATAAATTATTAATCTAAATATTGTTCAAGTATATTAATCTAACGTTCACCTAATTCACATAATTTGGTCCATTCTTTCGGAGGTTGCATTTTTAAGATTTCATCTGGAAGTGTGACCAACTGCATCAAAAGACCAGATTCCAAATGCCACTATAAAAGATAAAAAGTTTTAAAATCAGAATCGTATTCATTTCTTCATGTATCAATAAAAAATCTTTACATACCTCGTAAAAAAAATGAAATGAAATGAAAGGAAAGGAAAAAAAATGTTAGTGAATTTGTCAAAAAAAAAGCAATATACTGAACAAAAACGGAATGAAACGATAGCATATCATGTGACAGTGTATTCCCCAGACTCCAGGATTGTCGGAAACAAATCTGATGGCAATCCACCTAGAAAAAAATTATATTCGCCTCTGTTTAGTCTGTTTTTCATTTTACTAATGGGACTATTTGTCACCCATTATATGTCATCAGTGAAAGAAAACGCGAAATTTTTTTTACCCTAAGGCAGGTACTGTTGCAGTATCACGCTTGATTGGATTTTGTGTATTCAAATTATTTTCATCAACTTTATCTCCATCTCCGGTTCCAAGTACCCAAAATTGGTATCCATGCTAAGTTTTTAGAAAAAAAAAGTTAATTTTTAAAATCATTTATGTCGATTAATTAATTTTACGTACAATGTGAAACGGATGGTCGCCATCGTCAGTATCTAAAAAAAAATATTTGTTAATAAAATCATAAAATTGAAAATTCTTATACAATTGTTAATTAATTATACATACTGACGAAATAAATATCAACTACTTCTCCATCTTTATCAAAAAAATATGCATTTGCACTAGTTTCGCTAATTGGTTTCCCTTTAAAGATTTTATCTAAACTCGGAAAATTTATATCGGGTATATAAGAAGATTCATTAAGGAAAGCTTTAACAACTCCTGTTGTATTCTTATGAAAAGCAATTGTGAGTTCCAATTTTCTCGTTGATTCGGGAATCTTTTCTTCTTTAAGTGGTTGTAAAGTCTTGTGATCTAGATCAACGCATTCTGTCAAGGAATCAGACCATGGATTGTCTTTTGGTTCAGGACCATCGGGGGCTCCTTCATAATGTACTATAGCTTTAATAGTAGGAAGACTAGCTGCAGCATCTGGCATGCATTTCTTTTGAAATTCAGAACGCATTATATAATTATCGACCGGTTGGTTTGCAGTAACAATAACCGAATATCTTTGGGCGACATTGATGGGAAGACGATGGATCTTATTTCGATTAGTATATCCACCGTCTGCTTCTATAACTTCCATTTCATGATTATCAATAGAAAAGAAGAATGCCGAAAATGCGCTAGAAGAATAAAAACATTCGTCACTTTTAATTTTTTTTGAATTGCATAATACGATGATGTAGATTACTGTACCTAGTATTAATGATACGAAGGCGATATTTTTTATTTTGAACAAATTCAAATTTAGCAAGACCGGCATTGTCCACACATTTAGAACCCGGTGGGGCCTTGGAGCAATCGAAATTATTTTTTCCATTGATCAAACCGTTATCGGGAACTGTATGTGTAGGAATCGTTCTAATTAGCATCACGCGGTCATACCTTTGTACTTATATCAATATTTCTTACCTGGCTATTATTATATAATGAGAATGAATTAATATGAATTTAAGAATTTCGAATTAAGCTTCAAAACGTTAAATTTACCTCTTCTCCTTTACTTTCAGGAGTTAAGAATTGTTTTAATAAAACTTGTGCATTGGTATGATGATAATCATTCAACATTACAATAATTTCCTCGTCATATTCCGCTTTATATGGATCATCAGGATCGTGAATAACTAATAAATTAAATAGAGAAGTCATAAAGAATTAAAAAAAAAGTCGATTTAAATTAAATAATTAAATAACTTACTTAACGCGCCAAAAGCTCCATCAACATATTGCAACGTTTCATGCGCATGACTAAAGAAATATTATATATAGACAGTGAGTACATAGGAGTTCAAATAATTTTTTTTGGTCTCATAAATACTCACTACCAATGAGTGCCAACTTCTTCGGGAACAGTGAAATTGTAGGTGAATTCATAATCGTCTGGTATAACGCATTGAGCCTGATAGTACGTGTCAATCGACGATTGGTCAATATTGAAAGAATATAATTATACGAATCAGTTTTTTTCATAGACTCACCATCCATGGTACTCCATCGAACCTATATAATAGATTGTGAAATTAGTATGGTCTTTGTAAAAATTAATTCCAGTAAAAAAAAATCACATACCAAGGAGTCCCTCTTTGAAGCATTCCATGCCCATGAATAGCTAATATTTCATTTTGCAATATGCGCTTAAAAACACGTACAACACATAAAATATAGGGAAGATATTTGTTGCAAATTACCTGTTGGTTCTCCCAATTTATTATTAATGTTCATCACAATACGATCTCCTTTGTTAACTTCTATGGTTGGTCCAGGATATTGTCCATTAACGGTTGATAATTGACGAGTAAACCCATCTGGAGCCAAAGTAACTTTTTCTATAGTGAAATTAAAAATATTTGTTTTTGGTTCATACCCCCGTTTCAAAATTGGCGTGGGCGAGACAATTGCTGTCCAAAGAATAATATAAAAGAAAAAGATCCCAAAAGAAGTCATTGTTATATTATTATTACGTTAAATTAATTAGAATTAAGTATAACTTGGCAGTATTTTATATCTTTCATTACCATGTGTACTATGAATGGCCTTATTATTTTTTTTATTTGTCATTAATTTTATAAAAGTAAGTCGTACAGTACATAAATAATTAAAAAAAGATCGATGCTTCTTTCATAGTAACCCATGTAGTTTCGGTTACGACAAGTATAATTTATTTTATAATATTGAAATTAGCTATAAGGCGATTATTTATCATGTGTTTTCTTGTGACAATTCTTTTTATCGATTTCCGATTAATTTCAATTAGTGACTTTAAATGACTTTTTTAGCGCAATTTAATTAAGTCACGCTAATATACATTACATGAGCATGCATTCTGAAATAGATGGTCTCAATGGAACCGATTCAAGCTTGAGGCCGAGAACATCAAAAATAAGACCGAAAATGTTAAGCTTAAGGCTAGAGTTGTGAAATTGGAAGATAAATAATTGCAAAAACGAATTAATAAAAAGTTTATTAACCGGCTTATGTGTTACTGATAATACTGTTCAAACCGATAATTTCACCTTTTCAAGCCGATCATACTATATTAAGTATTCGTCATACATTACTCGCGAGTATTATTACAAGTATGTGAAGTTGAGAAACTATGAAATCGAAATTTATAATTAAAATTTTGGGGTGAGGTATTTTGGATATGAAATTCTGATTGGCTAATTTGAATTTGAAATGTGTGAAATGTGAATTGTGTGAATTTTCACGCATAACAATACCATATATTTTTTTATAATGAGATATTTTAATATTGGTTAAATATTTTGATATTGTTTAAACAGTTGAACTGCACTGACTGATCACAGGACTCGATCAATGGCATAATTTAAATATAAAGCATTTGGACAACATTTGGACATTTTAATAGCATTTATGCACTTTGACATTTTTTAGACTTTCGACAGCCTAAATGTCGAATGACGAAATTTTTCGACAAAGCTCGACTAACAACTCATAAATTATTAACAAAAAAAGATTGAAATACATAAAAGGTTATAATAATAATAGTAATTAAAAAAATTGGAATCTAAATGAAAAATTGAATACCAAGTTCGATCACATCACTCACAACATTGTCTAGTTCAAAATCGAGTTTTTTTATAATAAAGTCATATAGTCTTGAATTAAAATAAATGTCACTAACCTTGTTTTTGCTGAAATCCTTATGGGTCATTCTTCTTTATAGGTGAATTAGATTTCCTTTATATACTATTTTTTTTTTATTTTGGATTTCTTGGCAAATCTTTTTCAATATTAAATTTCAGTGCCGTATAGTTGATTTCAACGAGTTCATTTTCCTATATATGTGAAGTTGCGATTTTATGAACATAGTTTCATACAAGATAGATGGCATTATTATTTGTTTAGAATGATATTTTTATTATTATAAAACATTCTTTTTGTCTTTTAGAATTCCAATTGCAATCAACTCTTGTTATATCAAAATCCTCATATCGTGGACTTTTTTAGTTTCTCCCGAAATTTTTTTATAACACTTTATAATCAACTGTCTCTCGTGATAATGGACTCTTGTTACAATGAAAAATAAAATAAAAATTTTTAATTATAATGAATGCCGACAATCAATTATAATTAATTGAATGAATAAAACAAACAGTTTTAACGAAAGAATATGATGAATTTATTTTCTATAAATGTTGTTATTTAATATTTATACAAAATTCATTACTATATTTTTGAGAGCCTCATTAAGAATTAGATTTTCTATGAAACAATAATAAATTTCTTTGTTTTACAAAAATTAAAAAAAGTTACCAAACAATTACTATATTAATTCATCAAATTCAACATGTATTAAACATGGTAAAATAGGTTTTCTCCCTATCTTGTACAAATTTATTTATTTAATTATTTCCTTTCTTTCTTTATCATCCAAGTTTATTTTTAAATTTAAAAATAAACTTGGAAAATAATTTTTATATAATTTATTTATTATCACATACCATACCGACAATTCCTTAACCACACCAACCGAAAGTTCAAATAATAAAAGAACAAAACCCATTAAAAAATTCAATAATACCATTAATTACAACGACAACAATTATTACTACGCCATCAATAATAACGACGATAAATATCAAGAAATTAATAACAATTACAATCACAATCTCAATAATCCAGTTTCAATGGAACCAAAGTCACCAAAATCTACAGACACAGCAGCAACAATAGCATCATTATCATCAAGAATTACTCTATTGGAAGATGAATTAGAAGAAGCCGGTAAAGAAATGGCTGAAAATATTAGACGTGAGGTGGAATTACAAATGGAATTGGATTGTGTTATTGCGCAGAAAGAAGAAGACATTCAAGCTGCCACTGAACCTTTAGTAAACAAAATATCACAGCTAGAAACTGAACTATCATATTCCACTTCTTCCTCTGGTAGTGATGGTAGTGGTTATAATTCAGGATTCAGTTCACCAACACATAGTAACCATGAATATTATAATATAGAAAGGATAAAACAGGAAATTAACAATAAACATTTAAATGAATTAGAAGAAATTATGGAACAAAATAAAAAAACCGTGGAGAAGTTAAAGTTTGATCTGGAAAAAAATTTCGAGTTGGAAAAACAAAATTTAATAAAACAAACTGAAGATTCATTAAGGCGAGAACATTCGAAAAAATTAAATGATCTCGAAGAAAATCTTGAAAACCAGATTAGAGATTTAAGAAACGAAAACGGAAATCTTGAATTTGAAATCAAAATATTAAGAAAGGAAATCGAAACTTTTGATAATGAAAGTAGCGAAAATAGCGAAAATGAAAAAAAATTAGAAAATTTTGAGGTTGAAATAAGGAATTTGCAAAATGAAATTGGAAATCGCGAATCGGAGGTTGGAAATTTAAAAAAGGAAAATAAATTACTAATAGGCGAAAAGAATTTATTGGTAAAAGAGAATGAGATGTTAAAGAATGAAAATGTTTCGTTTACAAAAGAGAAAGAATTTGAAATTGAAAATTTGAAAAATGAAATTGAAAATCATAAAATTGAAATTGAAAATCATAAAAGTGAAAATGATTTACTGATAAAGGGTAAAGTAAATGACGATATTGAAATTAGAAATCTAAAGAACGAAATTGAAAACTTTAAAAATGAATATCTTTTGTTAAAAAAAGAGAGTTCTGAACAATTAGAAAACCTCAAAATTGAGAAATCAAGAGAAATGGAAAATTTACAAAAAATTAATCTTGATGAAGTTGCAAACCTTGAAAGTAAACTTTTGAATGCTAGCAATAAACTTGCCTCCATCGAAAATTCCTTCCAAGAATTAAATTCCAAATATCAACAATGCACGCAAAATAATTCGCAAGCATCAACCGAACTGATTTCCGCATATGAAAAAGTTCAAGAATTTGAAGATAAAAATAGAATTCTAGAAAAAAATTGCGAGGAATTGTTCGACGAGAAAATAAAACTGAATGCCGAGAAAGAAATGTTCCTAAAAGATATCCAGAAAATAAAACTTGAGAAATCGGAATTGGAAAATGAGCTTAAGGAATCGCACGGCAAATTGGACGAATTCATGAAATCCATGAAAGAGAAATGGGAATCGCAATATCGAGATCTTGAACAAAGACATCAAGAAACTGAGTCAAAGCTGGAAGAAACTGAGTCAAAGCTGAAAGAATCTGTCGAGAGAAATGAACTTATTTATGAAGAATTGATGAAAGAAAAAGAAAAAGAAAAATCGAATGAAATGAATCACGAACAGTTGAACGAGAGATTGAGAGCGTTGGAAAAACAAAACAAAGAGAAAATTAAAGAATTAAAGAATCTTCAATCGTTGATCAAGTCAGAAAATGAGCGATGGAAAGATAAGGAGGAGAATTTTATGATAAACTACGAAAAATTGGAATTGAAATTTAAACAAAAAGAATCCGAATACGATATTATAAATGATGAGTTGGAATTTATTACGGCCGAGAACAAATCCATCAAGCAAAAATTGTTTGACAACGACAAGGAGAAAATATTGATCGATCGAGAGAAAAGACAGATTGAGATCGAATTCAAGAAATTGCTGGAAGAGAAAGAAAATCTTTCCAAACAATTGGACGAAATCGAAAATCAATATCAAGAAGAAATTTCAATTATTGCCAAAGAAATGCAAAGAAGATTAGAATCGTTGGAAAAAAATCAAAAATATTTATTAACAAATAATAGTAACAATAATAAAAATAATCACGATAGAACTAGTAAATTACTTCAAAAAATAACAAATTTGGAAAGTTCTCTAAAATCTTCTAGGCTTGAATGCAAAAAATTGAATGAAAAATTGGCGGAAATTCAACTCGATCATTTCGAAGCAGTTAACGAGAAAAACAAAGTAATTGAAGAAAAATTCGAAGCTCAAAAGAAAATCGAATCGTTAGAATCTAGACTTGAAAGTCTTAATAAATTATCAGGTTTGGAAAAGAAAGACTTGAGATTAATGGAAAAATATCATGAAGTGTTGGCTAAAAATATGGAGTTAACAATTCAATTAAGTTCAAAATGAAAATGAAATCATTCATTTATTGTATATATTAATATGTATTTATTTTAATAATAATAGTAGATAATAATAAAATAATAATTATAATAATAATAATATAATAAAGTAATAATAATAATGATATAAATAAATAAGTGGTACATTATGAGAAAACGTGAAATTTTTTTTATATTTCAGAAAATTTTTTTTTCACATCTTATTAACAAGTGAAAAATTCATTCGTTTTTTTTTCCAAATAACTTCTTTCTTTGACTTTCTTTAAATACTGATAATAAATCAAAAGCTATGAAGGCTCTAATTCTTGTTGGAGGTAACTTCAGATTTTTCCTTTGATGTTAATTTTATGATTATAAAGCTTTAAAAAAGTATCAATACTTTTGTTTGATGCTTGGAAAAATTAGGGTTTGGTACTAGACTTCGTCCTCTTACCCTCACACTTCCAAAGCCTTTAGTAGAGTTTTGTAACAAACCAATGATATTGCATCAAATAGAAGGTCTTGTTAAGGTAATCTCATTAAAAAAAAGGCTATCATTATAATTATTATAATTTAGTAATTTATTTAAATTTTTTAATAGGTTGGAGTAAAAGATATTGTTTTGGCCGTTAATTATCGACCAGAGATTATGGTTAATCTTTTGCAAAAATACGAAGAAAAATATAATGTCAAGATTACGTTCTCAGTTGAAGAAGTACCTTTAGGAACTGGTTTGTTAATTCTCATTAACATAAATCTATTTCTGTTTATAAAAAAAAACCCACATTTTTCTAATGTATATCTATATATGCGCTTGGATGAATTCTTTTTATTAGCTGGTCCTCTTGCTTTAGCTAAAAAAACACTTGGAAAAGATCAATCACCTTTTTTTGTTTTAAATAGTGATATCATTTGCGAGTATCCATTTGAAGAATTAAGAGATTTTCACATTGCACATGGAAATGAAGGAACCATTGTTGTAAGTACGGGAATAAAAACATCTATAGAAATATTTTGTATTTATATTCGTATTTAAAATTTTGAAGGAATAAAAAAAATTCAATTGGTAATTATAGGTCACAAAGGTAGAAGAACCTTCAAAATATGGTGTGATTGTTAATCATGCCGATTCAACTTGTATTGAAAGATTTGTTGAGAAACCTACAGAATTTGTTAGTAACAAGATCAACGCAGGAATTTATATTTTTAATCCTTCTATACTAGATAGAATTGAGGTTTGTGTCAAGTTTATGTCATCCTTATTGTTTTTTTTTTGGGAAACAATTCAACCGATTTCTAAATATTAAAGTCCAAAGATACAAATTATTAATTCTAAAAGCTTAGACCAACCTCAATTGAAAAAGAGATTTTCCCAAATATGGCAAAAGACACTCAATTGCATTCATTCGATCTTGAAGGTTATTGGATGGATGTAGGTCAACCAAAAGATTTCTTAACTGGTACATTCCTATATCTCTCCAATCTTGCAAAAAAACAACCTAATCTTTTGGCCAGTTCTGCTTGTGATTACATATATAAAGGTAACGTGTTGGTTGACGAGACCTCTCAGATAGGTACTGATTGTAAAATTGGTCCAAATGTCACAATTGGTCCAAAAGTTGTAATTGGAAACGGTGTCAGATTAGAAAATTGTGTTATATTAGAAGGTGCTCGTATCAAAGATTATGCTTGGGTAAAAAATAGTATCATTGGATGGCATTCCTCACTTGGAAAATGGGTAAGTTATACAATTATATTTTATTGTAATTATTGATATATATATATACATTATATTCTCTCCTTTTGTATTTATAGACACGTCTTGAAGGAGTGTCTGTGTTAGGAGATGATGTAAGTGTCAATGATGAGATTTATGTAAATGGAGGTAAAGTTTTGCCACATAAATGTATCAGCGCTAATGTTACAGAACCTCAAATTATAATGTAAGGGAAAAAAGGAAGTTTTTATTTTATCATTATTATTGCCATTTTTACTATACTAGTGTATAATTAATAAGTTACATAAAGATTTTTGAAGAGGAATCAGCGATGATGATCACTATAATTTTTATTTAATTAATTTAATATAGACAATTTATTTTTTTTTTTTCATTCACAAAAAAGTTTTTCGTTTCATCTATAAAACTATATAAATAATAAATAAATAAATAAATAAATAAATAATAGATGAAATTAAAACGAATAAATTATGATTTTTTAATAATACCGTTTGCTTGTGCGATGATATTACAAGATGCATATAGGCATGTAATAAAAATATATTACTAGAATCAGCAAAAAATTGAATTTTTACACAAAACGTATTACCGTGCAGGTTCTCGAGCAATTGTTAAAAGCATCACGTTAAATTTATGCAAAAATGGTCAACTACCAGGTAGGTAGCAATTGACAGGCCCAAAGCATCAGCCAAGCGGCGACCTGAGTTGGCCCAACGTACAGGGTTTGCTGCCCCCAGGACTCGAGCTGCCGCCAGCATTTCCATCTCTTTAGTGTTGATGTTGTTACCCGGGAAGATCGTCTCCTCCGTAGAGGCACAAGTTTTGAGGTGCAGCCAAAAAACTCAAAATCGATGTGAAGATGTCCAAGTAACCATTTTCTGTAGAGGAGGAATGATTGATAGTATGCCGTAGTCCTGCGCTATCCATGCCAACAAGTTGCTTTTTGGTTTGGATAATAGTGGTTTTTCGATCGCCCTTCTATAGGGGTTTTGTTAGTTCTTCTACAGTACATTATGTCTAATTATTTTATCCGTGCATAAAACATTGTTGTTATTGTTGATAATGATGTTCTTCTCTCCTTGTGTGTTATTATCCAAATTAATGTCAACAAAGCATAAGATATGTATAAAGAATAAACAAAATATCAAAGTCTTCATAAAATAAATAATGACAATTAGATTTCTAGTAAATAAGAATAACTTGTCCTACAACAAATAAATATACCCACCCACCTAATAATATGGTTTAGATTTACTACCACCAAGTTTCTTAGTATCAACCTCGTAAATCTATCAAGTTGTGCCGAAATAAATAATTTTGGGATATGATTCTCTCTGAGCAAAATTCACGAACCTTTTTTAATTTTGGGCAGGTTAAATAAGACAAATATCTAAAATGGCTCTTGTTGACTTCCAAAAGTCTTGGGGTGGGAAATCTGGCGCGTTCTCGTTTAATTTCATAATTGGGTAATTAGTCAAAGCAATTCCTTAAAATTGATACAATTCCATTTTCTCATCAAGGAAAAAAAAATCTCTTCTTTGACATGAAGATAAAAATAAAAGTTTATTGAGCTTATTGAAATCAGCGAGACAACTCGGCAAAATCAACTTGGATGGATCTATTAAAATATCAAAGACATTTATTATGAAGGACATCAGAGAAAAAATATCGGGAAAGTTCCTTGCTCAGATTCTAAGAAAATGAAAACTCGTGCCTAAATCAAGTGAATGAATGTTATTGAGCTTTCTTTGGGCCCAGGAAAAGAAAAAAGCATATACTTGTCACAGTAATTGATGGTGGAAGGTTAAGATTCGGGAATGAAGAAATTCGTATTATTATAAAGCGTGGTTTTTAGTGTTTTTTAAATTTTTTAAGCCTATTTCGAGGAATTATAGAAACCAAAAATTTGAAGATCGAATAAAACAGTGCAATTAATGCGGAAACAAAAAAGAATTCGACTAATTCTTGAGAAAGAGGAATCTAAGAATTATTCATTATGAATTAAGTTTATTATACATTTGAATCTTAGAGATCTATGAACGTGAATAGAAAAGATTAAAAAGGGTATATGCCTCATTTATTGTATGCGGCACAAATCTCGCAAAAACAAAATATTTAATGGTCACATGGTTTCTATTGCATGTGACCTGTATATGCTGAAAATTCACAATTATAAATGCTTAATTATTACAAGACAAGAATATTTATTAAAAGATTACTTCATAATCAACCTTCTCTGGAATAAATAATTTATTAAATAGATAAAAAATTGGTTATTATTATTAACGTAATGTAATTATATTAATATACATAAATTAACCCTGCCGCACCAATCCTATATTTCAATTTAAACAAATATCATGCATAAATAAATAAACAACCAACTTTTCCCCATTATAATCTCTGAATAACAATCGAAGAAGCTGCCCCACCACCATTACAAATAGCGGCTGCTCCTAATTGGTCAGACTTCAATAAATGTATCAATGTAACTAAAATCCTTGATCCAGATGATCCAAGAGCATGTCCTAAAGCCACTGCTCCACCTGCTATATTTACTTTTGATGGATCCAATCCCAATAATTGTTCGTTTGCTCTGCTTACCGCACTAAATGCCTCATTGAATTCAAATAAACTTATGTCTGAGATTGTTAATCCGGCTTTTTTCAGAGCAACTGGTAAGGCATGAGATGGTGCAATTGTAAAATCTATTGGATCAACTGCTGCATCTCCATATGCTAATAAATAGATATATATGTATATATATATACAATATATATAGATTATTAATGAATGATTAATGGCATAAGTTTGCGAGTAGAGTAAGCTATAATAAATAACTTACATATGATTTTGGCAATAGGCTTAAGACCTAATTCGTCGGCTTTTTTGCGTGTAGTAAGTAGCAATGCGCTAGCTCCATCATTTAATGACGATGAGTTGGCAGCTGTTACGGTACCTTTATAATAAATTCATTACAACATCAATGTTGTAAATTTTACAAACTTTTATTTAATAACAACTATTACAGTAAATTTTATCCGTTTAACGGTTACTTACCATCAGGTTGAAACACAGGTTTTAAGGTTGGAATTTTATCATATTTGACATTTTTGTATTCTTCATCTTCATTAATAACTATTTCTTTTTTCTTGTCTTTAATCGTTACTGGAACAACTTCTTCTTTAAAAACACCATTCTATTTATAAAGATTGCATATCGAATCGATTTTTTTCTTTCCTTTTATAGCATATATAATATTCGTGTGTAAAAATATTTACCTTCCATGCTTCAGCCGCTCGTTTATAAGACTCAATAGCATGTCCATCTTGTTGTTCTCTTGAAATATTAAATTTCTTTGCTGTATTTTCTGCACAATTTCCCTTTTATTTTTTTTACCCGATAATTGCAAACAAATTATTAAAACATTGAAAAAAAAAAAAGAAAAAGAAACCCAAAAAATCATTCTTTTGAACGGTGTTGGTTTACCATACCATGCTAATTAATCATTCAATTAATAATGAAATAATTATAGAAATTTTATCAGCTTAATAAAAACTGATTGATTGATTGAATAATTTTGTAACAAATTTACATTAATTTGATCGATTAAAAAAAATGACTTACTGTATTTGATTATAAACGTCCCATAAACCATCTTTGATTATTCCATCTGCCATTGTTTGATTACCATATAAAACATTTCTTGGAACATAAAATCTACAATAATAAATAAATAAGTAAATATAAAACTTCAAAAGTCTTCTAAAACACCCCCCCTTTTTTTATCTTTTTATATTACTTACGGAACATTTGACATACTCTCCACACCACCTGCAATCATTACAGATCTATCACCAAGCGCTAAACTTTGAGCTGCAAAAATTACCGATTTCATTCCTGAAGCACATACTTTATTAATAGTTGTAGCTTCAGTTGATGTTGGCAAACCTATTTATAATTGATTAAAATTTAATTTGACAATTTTCTCTTTCTCATCAGCTAACTTTCTAGCTATTCCCTTTCTCTTTCTCTGCAACTTTTTTGATATCAGCTAATTCTTGCTTTTTCTTTAATTCCTGTTTATTTCCAAATAATTTTATCTTTCTTTAAAAAAAAATTTTTACATGCCTGCTTTTATTACAACTTGACGAGCTGGTGATTGTCCAATGTTAGCTTGTAACACATTACCAAAAAACACTTCTTCAACCTGATCAGGCTTAACACCTGATTTAAAATGATCATTCAATATTAAAACTTTTATTATAATTTATTTATTCAATTTTACTTACCAGAACGTTCAACCACACTTTTAACAGCAATTGCTCCAAGTTCTGGCGCTGTTAATTTCTTCAATGAACCATTAAAACAACCAACAGGTGTTCTAGCTGCTGATATAATAACAACTTCCTAGAATCGCACATATGAATATAAAAATTAATTATGAATTATATGTATATATATATATATATAATTAAAAATTAAAAAAATGAAAATTTTTTGTTACATTTATCCCACCACCAGTTGTATATTTACGAGAAACCTGATTATTTGGTTAATTTAATAAATCAATTCATCTTGAAATAGTTTCAAAATATAATTTTCTTACATTTTTTAAATAATTCGAAGTTTTATTGGCAAATCGAAACATTTTCTTCAATTAATTAAAGCGATTATGATAAAAAATTTTTTTTGATTTAGATGCAGCGAAATATGTTTGTTTACCCCCAAATCGGTAATGATTTACTTGCAGACTGTTAATTCGCAATTCGCCAGAAACGGAAAGAAATTACATAATGCAGATCGGGAAAATTTTCTCGATTTTGTAATAAAATAAACATATTATTAAAATAAATTTACTTATTATGATTTACTCGAGAAAAATAATAAAAACAATAAAAACAATTTATTGTTTTGTAGAAGTGCTATCTGGAATATCTACTAATCCAAATTTCCATTGTACTTAATTTTGGTATGCCAATTATTTCCAACTCACCTACTTCTACATTTTTTTTCAATTCTTCAACTACTTTATTGGACATATGTTTCCACCATCATTGTTATGTTTGGTGTAAACTAACATTGAATGTAGAGTCCATCCAGATTTCCCATAAAAATCAGATTTTGCTTCATGAGCTGACTGTGGTAAAATCTTCATTTTATAATCAACTATATACAATGATTGCACCCTCCTCATAAAGAGAAAGCAAGTTAGCATTAAATTGAGCATTAAGGTATGTCTTTCTTGCTTGGTGTGACCAATAATATTGAAGCTTATTTCTGTTATTAATAATTTGTCTAAATCATTTGCATAACCTGCATTAGTTGATGAAACCATTTTGATATCTTATTGCATTGTTTACAATTAGAAATATGGGAATTGGTACATTGTCCAAAAGCATATGGAAGATAATGCTCAAGACATTCAACATGATAAGTGTGTCCTAGGAAATCCGCTTTGGGTTCTTTATCATATTCATGTTTTAAATGATGTTGGATGGATTCAAGTTTTGCAATTAATTGATTCTAACAATATATGAAATTATTTCAGTATTTGATTGTTAATTATAACTACTATAAAGCATTTACTCACCTGATGATCTTTTTCATTTATTTTCTGATATTAGGATTAAACATTGTTTAATAACATCATACTTTGATGTTGATTATTTACAATAAAGTATATCCAATAAAATTGTTTTTCCATTGAATTTAAATTGAATCCTTGTTATTTCATTAAAAAAAAAAATCATCATTAGTCTCAAAATCCATCAAGTTCATTAAGATGTACATAAACATCATAACATTCTTTCTTGATAGTAATGCCGTTAATGATTAAATTGCAACAATTTATACTTCTCTGAATAAAATAGGTGTCATCTAAAACAATATCCAAAGCAAGATTGCATTCCAAAGTTAATGGTCCAGGATGTGCAGGAGTTGAAAAACCAATAATTACAAGAGTTTGAATTACTGAAGAAGCTAAAAGACAATTTGAAATTTTTTTTGCTGACAAAAATATTGTCAATTTAAGTTCTTATAGAGTAAATGAAAAAACTGGTGATCCTGTAAAATATTTGAAAGATCAAAAAGAAACATTGTGGAGAAAATACTTTGAACTACATCCATCTGGAATGAAAAGGACATCATTTTTAAAACGCTTGAATGATGGTTCTTTTGTATATAAGGAAGATATGGGAGGTTTGTGTGGCATTTGTTTTGAGTATGGGTATGGTGTATTTGATGATGTGAAAATCCTAATATCAGGGAGAATAAATGAAAAAGATCATCAGGTGAGTAAATGCTTTATAATAGTTATATTTAACAATTAAATACTGAAATAATTTCATATATTGTTAGAATCAATTAATTGCAGAACTTGAATCAATCCAACGTCATTTAAAATGTGAATATGAAAAAGAACTTGAAGTGGATTGCCTAGGAAATACTTATCATGTTGAATGTCTTGAGCATTGTCTTCCATATGCTTTTGGACAATATGCCAATCCCCATATTTCTAACTGTAACCAATGCAATAAGATATCAAAATGGTTTCATCAACTAATGCAGGTTATGCCAAATGATTTAGAACAAATTATTAATAACAGAAATAAGCTTCAATATTATTGGTCACACCAGACAAGAAAGACATACCTTAATGCTCAATTTAATGCTAACTTGCTTCCTCTTGATGAGGAGGGTGCAATCATTGTAGTTGATTATAAAATGAAGATTTTACCACAGTCAGCTTGTGAAGCAAAATCTGATTTTTATGGGAAATCTGGATGGACTCTACATTCAATGTTAGTTTACACCAAACATAACAATGATTTAGAAATTCAAGCTTTTGATCACTGGTCCTCAGATACAGCCCAAGATGCTTGGTTTACTGCCTCATGTTTTGAAGTTGTATTTAACACCCTTGAAAAAAAACCAAAATGGATAAAAATTCTATCTGATAATGGTGCACATTATCATTGCTCCGAATTGATGGCTATGATTGCAAATTGGAAAATTTGGTATGAGGTGGATGTTCATAGTTGGACCTTTTTGGAAGCAGGGGAAGCCAAAACAACGATAGATTCACATCATGCTCAGGTTTATAATTAATTGCTAATAATAAATTTATTATAAATAAAATTAATTACTTATCTTTCCCTTAATTCCACAGGTATCACATGCAATTAAAAGATATGTTAGGCTTGGACATAATATATCTGAAGGACAAGATATAGTAGAAGCTGCCAAAGAGATTAATGGAACATCAATTGCAAATATTGAGCCTGATTGTAAGCACAAAGAAGAAAAAAAACCTATAATTCCTGGAATTTCAAATTGGTTTGAATTCCAATGGCCAGTTGAAGGAGAGTTTTCTGGTTTTGTTCGTGGTAGAGCTCTTCCAAATTTTGGAAAATGGAATGATTTCTCTCCTGAAAACATTCGTAAATCAATGAAGGGAGGCGAACAACATAGGCCAAATCCTCAAATTTCCACACATACTGACTCCCAGGCTCAATGGATAACACCAACGCCATCAACAGGTTTGAATTAGTAATTTCTTCTAAATAAAACAATAAATAAAAAAAAGTTTTTATTTTCCATATTCAAATATATTAAAATACATCATTATTAAAATCTATGTCTCAAATTACCACTTATTTTTTAGAACCAGGTATGGGATTGGATAAATTAAAGAAAGATGATATTAAAAAAATGTTGGATCAAAGAGGCCTGAATTATGATGAAAAAAATAATCGATCAGATTTAGTTGCACTTTTAAGAGCAAACATTGAATTTGAAACAGATAATAAAATAGAAGGTAATAAAATTATTTTTCTAAATATCTACCAACTTGGCTAATTATGTTTTTATTATCTAGAAGCAAAGAAAAGAATGGACTTAGATGTAATAGTGGATGATAAAGATGATATAGATAATTTACAACCAAGAAAAAAAAAAAAAAAAAGACTTATCTATTATAGAAGAACAATTTGATAATGCTGAAAAACATATAGCAACAAGGTATTTGGGAAATTTGATTGTGTTGAAACTCTAATGATTTATTTATGCGTCCATTTATTTATATAGAAATTATTTATGTCCATTTATCTATATAGAAATTACTTCCCGCTTGGCTGGGCTTTAAAAGAAAACCAGGAATTTGGAAAGAAAGGTGGTGGAAAACATATGTCCGATAAAGTAGTTGAGTTATTAAAGACCTTTTTTCATACAGGTGATGCATGTAAAAGTGAATGATATACACCTAAAGAAATGCTTGAAGAATTGAAAAAAAACGTGGAAATAGGTGAGTTGGAAGTAATTGACATGCCAAAATTAAGTACAATTGAAAATTGTATTAGTAGGTATTCCGACAGCACAAGCTAGAAATTGCTAAAAAAACAAATAAAATAACTAAATAAATAGTTTTTATTACTTTTCTCAAGTAAATCATAATAAGTGAATTTATTTTAATAGTATGTTTTTCTACCCATAATCCTGAGCTGATTTTGAATTTGTGCTTTAGTAGTAAAAAAATAAATGTATAGTTTCTTAACAAGAAAAAAAATTATAGATTATACTAATGTTTTTTATTATGCATGAGTGTGGTACTTGATAATAAGGTTTTGTGTCAGCAGGAGATAAAAGTTACGTGATAAAAATTATTTTATAAAATCAAGAAATTTTGCCCCGATCTGCATTATTACTATTATGTAATTTCTTTCCGTTTCTGCGAATTGATGAGATGAGATTGTGACACGAAATGAGCTGATCGCTGATTGTTGATACAGTTTAAAAAAATACTGACTCGTATTCTACTTTCGAATATAATGTAAAAAAATAAGGTCAATCTTCTTCTATACCTTTGTAGCTCTTTGAACTTTGGTAGAGTTTACAGTCACGCGTATCCCTACTGTCGTTAGGCCACCCCGTCCTACGTTCAGATGCTTGGAGGCAGTCTGTTGGGCATATGCGTTTAAGGTTCATGTTCCAGTATGCTGTTTTCCAGGATGCGTTTACTATACCTACTGTTGTTAGGCCACCCCGTCCTACATTCAGATGCTTGGAGGCAGTCTGTTGGGCTGTCCTTAGGCATACGTGTTTAAGGCCTTTGTTCCAGTATGCTGTTTTCCAGTATACAGTTGACTGTAAACATTACTATTTCTCTTTATTAAAAGATAAATAACTAATAATTGCACTAATTATTTTTAGATGTTTGAATCCACCATCAGGAAATTAATTTAGCATAAAATTGCATAAATCTTATGATGCCGACGTAATATTGTGTAAATCTTACAGTGCCGACGTAAGTTTTACACTTTTTTATTATTAAACTTACAATTGACATGTGTAAAATTTTTTTATATTTTCCGGATGACCATAACACAATATCTTGATAAAACAAAAAACAAAGATTGGTCGATCCTTGGAATCCTAGAATTTTCACGATTGAACTTGAAATTATCAGTTGCTACAATCAAAGATTTCAAGGAAGATCTATATGCAATATTATCTAAATATAAAGACAATTGTAATATTCATGTAAATGCCAAAAGCAAGGCAACAAAGATTTTATTGAACTTTGACTCAATGTTTTTCACCACCGAAGTTAAACTATTCGTTAAAGATCTTGAATATCATGAGGAGGCATGA